AAAACACTGATTAAGGCCAAGATGAATATGGGGGTTTATATACTTAGAAAATTGATGTAAGGAGACATATCACCAGTAAACTAACAGTATCAAGCAGTGGGTTTATTAGGATTGTCTCAGACCTCCTTGGTAAAGTCAACTGGAAGGCCCACAGAGAACAACAAACTTTTACAGTTTTAAGCTTCATGGAATAATCTGAAATGTAATATAGATTTAAGAGAAAAACACAACCCACATACTGTGCTAAAACAATCGTGCAAATTTTATCATGAGGATGTGGTCTTAAATGCATATGGGCTAGTGTAGTGCCTGTCTGCTGTTCTTGCTAAAAGAATGATCTAATGTTACTAGATTGTCATTATAAGACGCTTAATCCCCAGAGTGAGAAACAGGAAGAATATTCACAAGTTTCAATGCTATTTACTAATTGCCAATTGACTTGAGGAAAGCTAAAAAATGACTGGAAACATCCATCCCCATCCTGATACACACACATACTAATAATGGAAATGGCAGCCAAGACAAACAGCTAGCAGTGCGGTGCATCCTGTTGGCATCGTATTTTTGGCACTGTTGTAGCTACACAGAAAACAAGTGATACAAGAAATGTGTAAGGACATCTGTTCTGTAACCTATGGGGCTTTACTCACAAAACAGTTGTAAAATCTTCTGGGGGAGAGAAGAATTTCTCTATATCTGTGCAGATGCTCTATTGTAAGAAAAATATCAATGGAAGGAAGTGTTGAGCCTTTAAAAGAGGAAATTGTTCACCAGATTCACTGTCAAATGTTCCATTCTTTTCTTTCCTTTTCATTTAACCTAAATTATCTGCCATTCACAAATTATATTTAAGCCAAGTTGTGTAAATCTGTTGGGACTAATAGAATTGAATCATAGATTAAATTAGCCCAGTGTCTCCTTGTAACTCTTCTTTGCTGAAGATTACTTGGGCTCTGTGTCACTCTGCTGACTATTCAGGTCACAGCCTCCCAGCTACCAGCTTCCTTCCTGAATCCAGCATCTTCATGTCTGTCTAGGGGCACAATGGGGAGAGGAGAAACATTAAAAATATCAATTAAGATTCTTTACCAGCTTCTCTTGGCTTTGCTGATCCTTCCAAACATAAACAGGTTATGTGAGAAAGAAAAGGGGGAGTTTTTAAGACACTGCAAGGCTCTCTCTACCATTCACCTACTGCCCTTTAGTCACATCTCATGAATAGACATTTAAAAAATGAAATAAACTTTCCCAAAATTCACATGTTGTTTCAAAAGTTGGGATAGAAGTAGTTAGCCTTCCCCCAAAGGTCTCTTATGGAGAGAAAGACATGGCTCCATGAAAAAAAACAAAACAAAACAAAACAAAAAACAAATCAGATCTTATATAAACCTGGAACACATTATGAAACTGTAAGATAAAGAGGGACTGTGGGGTGTAAGAGGTTGGGAGGACGTGGGGAAGGAAAGTTTAGCTCCAGGAGCTGGGAGCAGCTGAGGGTCCTGGGTGCAACAGCATTTAGGAGCAGGAAAAATTAGGTGCCTGGGTAGGAGGAGATTTGTGAAGGAAGAGAGGTGTTCACCTCTGCTATAAAATAAGTCAGAGCTCTAGGGTGGATAGGAGGGAGGGAAAGCCCAGAGGTACTGACTTGAGAAAGATGTGGGACAGAGGCAGATGTGGGGAGTGGGGACTTGGTAGTTAGAAGCATGAGCTTTGGAAGAGATTGTCGACTCCCAGAGCAGCAAAGGTGAGAAGCCTAGCAGTGAGAGACAGTGTAGAGGGCTGGCTCTTCCACAGTGCTCACAGAAACACCCTGACACCTCTACTTGGAAGATCAAGGATACAAGTACAGGACTGCTTTCCTCTAGCTTCCCCCCTCTGATATTTGATTTCAGAAATGCAATAGATCTGAGATCTTATCTTTTATGTCACATTTCAGTTTGGGAAGGGCATGGCTTGAAGAAGCGTGAGATGGAGTAATAAGACCGCGCCACATTACAAGCATTAGGATTTGGATGTTGTGTTGGTATTAAACATGCTTATCATTAAACACATTGAATCATGCCTTAATTTTATATGTTTCCTCTAATTGTTCCATATTTACTTCCTTGACACCCACGTAATGATCCATGCTTGCAGGCAAAGATTTCATTATTTTATGTTGTAGTACTTATCTTGCTGTTAGAAGCGAATAGATGCAATTGTGGTCTGTTTCTATTGAGATAGCAGCTAATACTCCTCCAGGAAGTTCCAAAGCAGTTTTTCTGGAAAGCAACACTGAAAGCTGTTCTGTAATTTATGTGGTATGCCTTGCAATAGCCAGTTCTATGATTAAAACAGTAGTAAGTAACAGATGTGCTCATATTCGGAGCATTTCCAGAAAGGAATTAGGAAGTTTGGGTTGGTCTAATTAATCTCTTGATGATTTGGGGATTTCAGTGACCACTGACCAAGATCAGACTGTGCTGCATATCGTATGATCAACCTGTGATCTAATCTTGAATGAAGCATTACTTGGCTCTACTTCTTACCAACTATGATCAGGGCCTTTTTGTCCAAGCCACTGTGCAAACAAATAAACTAAACAAACAGATCTTCCACAACAAGTTTACAATTCACACATCAGACCAGGAAGCTAAGAATGGATGTAAAAAAGTAAACAAGGTGGGTTCAAAAACAGATGAGGTAGCAGTTAAACTGTGTAGGAGGAGCAGATGTGTCAGCTTCCTCCTCTCCTTGCAGTGCTACCTCATAATGGCTCTTGGTTTACGATACACAAGAAAGAAGATCCTGATTGTTTTGCTAATATGCATCAGGACAACTGGTTATGAGAAGACAAGAGATTCTTGTGTGCCAGTCCCTACCCGTTGAATTGTTTGGTTCTCATAGTTGCTAACACATGACCAACTAACATACAATAGGGAAGCAGTCCTGTGCCAAGAAGCACAGGTGCCCAAATCACTTCCCTTCCTCACATGATGAGTAGTGCTTGCATAGTGATGAAATGGACCCCAGGGAGAGGAGGAGAGAAAGAAACAGGGGTGAAGAATTGTGTCAGGTTACTGGCAGAAACAGAGAAGTTGAGAGGAGAATAGATGAAAACTTGTTGCCACTGGGAGAAATTATTTGGGTTGAACAAACTGATGCAGTCAAGACTGAGGATGCAAAGGCAGATGGTGATTAGAGTTTATAGGAGTTGAGTATGCACATCTAAAACTACAAGGGACATGATGAAGAAGAAGAGAAAGCTGTCATAAAAAAAATACAAATATATCAAAATGTCAAGAAAACCAGAAGAAATGAGGAAAGGGAGAATTCATTCACTGGGGAACTCAATGGGTGATAAAAGTGAAAGATTCTGTATTGGGAGAAGCTGTTACTGAAGTGAAGCTGAGGCTCAGCCCTTAGCCATAGCATGGATAAAGGATACAAAGATGTGGCGAGTGGAGATTTTAAGATGAAGGGCAAAATTATGCCGATGGATAGGAAGAAGGAGCAAATAGAGAGCAGGTTAGCTATCAGATACAGTGGGCCCAGAACACATCGTAAAGGTAGAGTGAATGGTTAAGTAACGGTGATAATCTGAGGTTTACCAAGACACTTCATCAAATGTTTAGCTTTTTATTTGTTTGCTAGGGCAAAAACCATAAAACTTCACAGACTAGAAAGATTCCACCTTTATGCATTATGGGTGAGAGTACCTTGTACAGCCTTCTGAAGCTGTAGCAGCTAGTCGTTGCTATAGACACATCTGGAATATATGGTCTTTTACTTTAGGGCAGCCTGGCAATTTTTGTGCTGTGAGTCAAATCACCAAAATACACATTGTTTAATAATATTTAAGTTGTATAAACATACCTTTCAAGGGAAGGAGCTGTTGAGAGAATCCAGGCAAAGAATTAGTACAAAAGCAAATCTAGTACTTCACTACAATGGCAGCTCCTGTTCCGGACAGAGTCCCTGCTCTCCAAGAGGAATAGGAAAAGAAGATAGAGACATGGATCCTTCCTGTCCCAACAATGAAGAAGAGAGAGCAGTTGTTGCCTCACTGTGAAGAACGGTGCCGTAGGGCCTGCAGTCAGTTTCAGTGTTTGAGATGTTACCTTGGATGACAATGTCTGTGAAAAGTTACCTTTTATTTCCCCTGTGATTAGTTCTGAATGCATCTTAGTGATTAAAGAGAAAAATCCGTTTTTCAGTTCTGCTTTACATTTCACCTTCAAGATAGAACTGACCTCAACTGTTTTATTGTGCTGTGTCTGTTTTCAAAGTCAGCCACGTGGTGTCTGAGAGTTCATCATCAACCCGTGCTAAATTAATTACAAGAAAGTAATTTGTCTTTTACCAAAGTAATTGGGGGGGAGGGGGAGAGAAGAACAATTCTGAGTCCTAAAGCAGGACTCATTAAGCTGAGAGAGATGCTGGTCAATAAAGAATGCACTTGTACAAAAAATGTCAGCCGAAAATTGATCATTCTTCTATTGCTGATGCTTCATAATCATCCCATATTGGCTCACCCTGGCAGCACACTTCACTACCTATGTATAAGACATCAGTCTGCTGCGTTGTTTGAGACCCAGCCTTGGAGTGTCAGTAGTGTCCTGCTGACCCTATTCCTGTTGCTCATACCTTCTGCAGTCATCTACAAGACAAGAGTTTGTCCATAGGAGCTCCAGAAAGCATGGGGAAGCTGGAGAGACTTTACAGGCCAGAGAGGCAAGAATCCTAAAAGTATATCATGCTCTTCATGAAGGTGATGAAGCTTGCATTAACACAAATGGAAGTCATTCATATATCGAGGAAGAAGATATCCTCAGACCTGTGGACAACCACAGCTGTTTATCATGGAGCTCTTATGTACCCACCCATTAGCTCTGTAGCCTAAACGGCTTCAATATACAGGAAAATATTTAAAACTAGAATATCAGAAATACACATCTTCCTTCATTTGGCATTAATACAGTTGTGTCAGTGGGTTTTTTGACAACTCATTTTTTCTTTAGGCAGCGTTAAGTGCCTTGAAACAGTTTTCAGAACAAGGACTGGATCCAGTGGAAGGGGCTATGAAAGTTGAGAATGCATCACATGAAAAGTAAGTACCATGTAAATCCCCTGCATTTTAATGCCTGTGTGTCGTGGTAGATAAGAAATGTTAATTAAGGGCTTAGCTGCCCTTTTAAACCTGTGCAAAACTATTTCCTCTGGAATTTCCATAGAGTTTGTGATAATTTGAGAGGATAAACAAGATTTCAGGTTTAGTGTTACTGATAATGTTTACTAATGAGCTATGAGACAGTCAGTCCTCCTATGGAAATCCTAAAGAAAAGGATTTTCTTTTCCTTGTATGGATTCTGTGAAAGTAGCATAACATGATTTTTGTTAAATATGTTGTATCACATGATATTGCCTGTAAAGTAAGGATAGCTATCTGACAATAAGTCCTTGTGTCTGAAAGATGGATTTTACCCTAGAGAGTTTAAAAGTGAAAATTTCTGTCAGATCTTCAGAAGCTCTTATATGGAATATTAGCTTTAAGTAGTAGACAATAGAACCAGGTTTCTTACTGGATTTTCAGTTTAAGAAACTGGGATTTTCTGTCCAGTATAGATTTTTTTTCCAGCTGCTAGTCTGTTTATGTAAGAAGGTAGTCTTATGTTCCTAAATAAATTAGGAAGTAATAGAATAAAAGAAAGAAGACTAAAAGTGACATTTGGAATTTTCAATAGATATATTGTGGCTGTTTATAAACTAATCTAATCAAAACCATTTTTCCATATGATCTCATCAGCATAGTATTTGAACATAAATATTGTTGTTTCACTTTAAAATGTTACCTTCCACAGTGACCTTTGAATCTCATGTGCCATCTGGTAATAAACATGTCTTAAAGATGTGCAACCCTGGACCTTACCACTCTTGTTAATGTATTAATCTTTCAGACAAGTCAAGCATCTGGGAGAGAAAGCAGACAATAAACAGACTAACTCAGGCACCATTGCTCAGGACTGCAAGGATTCAAAGGCTGTCGTCTAGGAGCTTCCCAGCACCCACGGCTGCCACTGCATCCTTATAAACCTGTCAACACGCAATAGGGTGTATGTGTACAAGGAAATGAATGACTAATACCATTATTTGAGTCTTATGTGAAGACAACACTATTCTAACACAAGAGATAGTATACATGGTACTGTTTATTCAACTGTGGAAAAAAATAAAATTGAACATTTCCCTCAGAACTCAAGATCAGAGCATAACTCAATTGCCCAGAGGCAGAAGAAGTCTGATCATGTTACTGGAGGTTAAAATAATAACTAATTAACAAAAAGTGTTAGGAAAAAAAAAAAAAAAAAAAAAAAGGGAAACTTTAAAATTGATTAATATTGAGGAAAACAAGTCAGCATTGGTTCAGTTATACAATTTTTTCGTAGTGTAGTTTTAAGTTCAGCTTACTGTTTTTTAAATAATGCTTGAATATTTTAAAATTAACCAATGACAGTGCTGTGAGAATTGTAGTTGTTGTCTTCATATATAGTCATACAGCTTATCTTTTTATGCAGACATTATGCATTTTTCATTCTATATGAATATGTATGACTTTAAGATGCACTACTCAAGAGTTGTATGCAAACAGAAGTTTAAATCATGACAAGTATTTGCTTAACATGAACAGATGTTAGTTATGATCAGTCTCGATATACTCCAGGAAAAAAAACAGATATGGTATTTGATTTTCCTTGCCATAATCAATTAAAGAGGCGTCTTGCCTCCAAGCAACATTTTCCCCTTCAATTCTGCTCTCTGTTGTGTGAAGCACATCTACACCCCATTCTGTGTGTTGTATCAACCCACCGTTTGCATCAACTGAGTGTTTTTAATCTCTGCATTCGGACCAAGAGCAAAAGGTAGGACTGAAACGTTATCAAGCCAAGGATGGAAAACTGTTGATGTAAAGATCATTCTCTTGTGATAGGAGTGGCAGCAGAGATAAGACCTGTGGCTGCTCTGTACCAGCATATTTCTTTTCAGTGTGTGGCCAAATGCAGTAAAACCACATCAGTTCATGTGTACAATGACAGTGTCGTCTCTTTCTTTATCATTCACATGTAGACAGCTAAGAGAACAAAGTGAAAAAAAGCTAGTTACAAACTAATCAATGACTGGCTATGATGCCCACCTTTCCCCGTGTCACCACCTTCTACACACTTACTGTGTTAGACCAATCATCCTGACATTTAAGTAATTCATTAGTCCAAAATACAGATAGTTTATTTTACATGGAACTAATGCAATAAACACATACTGCATAACAGTCATGACAACGTCACACAAGATTTTAGAAGCATATAAACGAGGGATCACAGCCCAAGTGACTCACACAGGAAAGCACAGAAACAGCAACGTAAGGAAATGGTGCAAGGTATGGTGGCATTGATTAACCTCAGGGAAAGGCTTTCAGGCTAGCATGCATCATGCTCTTACAGAATCAGTGGTTACTAAAAATCTGGAGTCCTTTTTTCTACTTAATGATTCCCATGGGTATGATTCACTCTCCCCTCAGCAGATGAGGAGCCTTTTGTGCTAAAAGTTTGCAGTTTTCTAGTGTCTGACTCCACAAAGGAGTCAGGAACATGCTGAACCTTTGAGTTCCCACTGAACTGGGAGATTTCCAGAGGCATCTGGCACCTGACAGACTCAAGTTATTCAGGCAGCAGCATACAAAATTAAGTAGCTCTTGCACACTATCTTTCTCAGGGATATGTTACCTGCCTAATTGGCAACTGCAGCAGAAATTCTACTTCTCCTTCACCTCGGCAGCCAGCTCAGAGAGCTCAGAAACAGGGTCAGTCTGTGTTTTAGCAGTGCCTCCCATTATGCAGAATACAAATGGCATTATTGTCCCCTCCCATGGAGAACAAGAACAAAAGGAAGAGGCAAACCCATTCCTTGACAACTTGTCCTAAGGGCAAGAGGCTGAGCTTGCTGGAGAGAATGTGACAAGGAGACCAGCAGTATGATCTCCCTGGCATTGACAGGTCCCTGTCCTGTCCCTACAGACAAACCCTTTGTACTAGTTTGCTCAGAAGCTCAAGGTACGTCTTGATACTTGGTGTCATTCTCTAGGCACAGCCACAAAAATGTGCCCAGTAAACTTCAGATTAGTTGCTTTGTTGCAGGTGGCCTCTTCATTGAGTGCAAGGCTTGCTCCAGTACATGTGGAGAACGGCACAGTGATTGCCTTAGTCTAAACAAGCAAATTGCAACCGAAAGCACGAAACTGGCTCTCTAGGCCTAAGATGGCTCATTCGGCCCCTCAATCAAAACACCAGTATAAAAAGATTGTCTCTGTGAAACTTACCATCACAGGTGCTCTTGCTGGTCCGAAGCATGCTTGATTCAGACTAACACTCTTTTTTTCTCAAAACTGTAGAAACATGGAGTAGACTGGGGGAGAAGGATCATATAGTAGCAGGATTTCTATTTTCCAACTGCAGTGTTGACTAATAATTGTCGTACTCACAAGTTAGAAAGTTCTGTGCAGCCTAAGGTAAAGTGCACACAGGTCATGGTTTTAAAGCACCTCCCAAGCCACAGGTTAAAAGCCTCACCAAAGAGGCTCCAATGAAGGCTAATACAAAGCCTTTCCTGGCATAAATCCGAACAAAGAGTTCCTGCTCCCTACAGGTATGGATGGTTGGACTGGATGATCTTCAAGGTCTTTTCCAACCTAGATGATTCTGAGATTCTGGGATTTTGGGATCACAGGGACCTCAGTATGGAGCTCATCAAGGTATCACACCTGAACCCTGGGATGTCATTTTGGTGTCACTAAGGCAGTCCAAGGCTCCTGTCTCAATGAAGAGATTTCAGTATGTCCACGTGCATATCATGCATGAGAAGTTTCTCAAAGACAATCCTGCCATATTCGCACACACATATGCAGAAATGCACTTTAAATGTAGTTGGCGTTATCACTAGCAACCTCCCAAGAGCCTGAGGAAAATTCTTGAACCAGAGATGTTGCAGCAGCCAGTGGACTTTTCTCTGATCATCAGCCTTGTTGGTTCACAGCTGTTCCTCTTAGTTCCTGAGCTGGCAACATCTGAAAGCTGCTGGGGAGGGCTTAAGTCCCATGAGCTAAACCCCATTTTCCTTCAGTAACCTGATCTTTTTTTTTTTTTTTTTTTTTTTTCTGTTTTTGCTTCCTAAAATAAGGTAAGAGTTTGTAAATGGGAGCATGTGGAACACAGCAAACTTTATATTTAGTTTTGTTTAATAATTAGCTAGTGATGGACACTGGAAGAATATCAATATGTTTGACAGTTGTTTTTAGTTATAAAATGGTTGAGTTTACTTTTATGACAGCAGTTATTTTTTTATTTTTATTTTTTAGATTATACCTTCTTTGTGCTAGAGACCTTGTCAAACTTTTGTTTGCAAAGCACTGTGAATAGTTTAATTCCCTGTTTATCACACATCAAACACCTCTCATCCTGGTTCTCAGAGCACTTTCAATGAGCAAATGCCATATTTTACTGATGTGGCTCTGAGGTGCAAACTGATGCTTGGGAATAAGGCAGGAATAAGGAACAAGGCTTAGGATAGGCAGACTGCCTATCTAGCAGACTGCTGAGCACACTGTGGTGAACACCGTGTTCAACTTTTGAAGGACTCAGAACCCAAATTGTCATCAGTTCTGGACCTATGACACTCATTAATGGGGAGGAATTATGCTAAAGAGAAAACAGGACTCTCAGGTATCCTCTCTGAAAATCTTAACACCTTCAGGAGGTCAGTGAACTAAGAACTTGCACAGGAAAAGGCTCATCACTGAGTGAATGGGCATATCTGATACGATTTGAAGGATGAGAACTCACATGGTTAATTTTATATCTGAGTTATCATCTCCAATTGCACACTGGCCTGTCAACAACTCAACATGCTCTGGAAGTTTCTGTTCTCGTGTTGACGCATGTAACACTGATTTCCAAAGGGACAATGTGCTGCTTTCAACTAATGCATCATCAGGGCCTTAGAGCTAGAGAAGAGGGTGCAGGTTTCTGTTCCCAGCCATCCCAGCATTCACTTTCCATCTACAGTGGATTTATCCCTCAGCTAGAGTCCCCACTGGATTCAAAAGAGAACAATGCCGGCATATAATTTCCCCTGATTGAAGTCATAGGATTTAAAAGATTTAGCACTCAGCAGCAGCATTTTTAAAGGGTCTTTGGATAACAAGTAGAGAGGAACCTCAGGAGCTCTTTTCCCACTGCCATCTCTCCCCTCTGAAGCATGAGGAAAGAGCTGAGCCACAACAGATTTTAAAAATCAGTAGGGAAGTAGTTGGGATGAGTGACTGCAGGAATATGGAATCTCCTCCTCCTTGGCCTAAAGTGACAATGAAATTGAATCCTTCCTAAATTGTATGCAAAGCCCTTGATCTCTCTGACAGTACTTTACTACATGATTTTATTGGTGGGTGGCTGCTTGTTGTTCTCATTTCTCTGGCCTTCTGTAATTCCCTACGAAACAGCAGAAAGTTTCCCATACCCTGCAGTGACAGATAAAAAAAAAAAAAAAAAAAAGCTGGATTTATTTTCCAGTTAATAGGCAGAGGGCTGTTTTTTTAATTTGTTTCAAAACACTTTGTAAAAATTATGCTTCGTAAAATCTCTTTATCATGTCCCAGAAACACCCAGCACTTCCCCACTCTCAGCTGCACCCCATAAGCAGGTGATATTTTCTTTGCTCATATAAGAATGGCCTTTTCAACCCCTGAGAAAAATCAGCAGAGTGGAAAGTTATTTTTAATGATGGTGAAGGCAGGGACTAGATCAGAGCCCTGAATACAACACTGCATGATGAATTTGTGTGCTTCGGAGCAACATGGTTCTATGACCAGTGGGAACAGGTAGCGACTCCTCCTTCACCAGCCTTCCAGCTCAAACATGGCAAGTTATCTGCACTGAGCAATAGTGTTCAGCACATATATTCGACGTAGCTCCCTGAGGACATCTTCAGAAGAGCTGGAAGGAGAGACGTATGTCCTGAGTAAGAGCTTGCTCTGTCTTTCCTTCCCCACAGCCGATGAACCTCAGGCTGAAGGGGTAAGATACCATCGGGATGAGGCACAGGGAAATGCGGCTTCCCCTCTGGGTATTTACCTCTCCTGCAGGTCCCTTTCTGTTTGTAACTGCATTCCTGAGGTGTGATATGAGCTAAGCAAGTGTGTACGTCGGTAGATGAGATGTGTATGAAGTGTTTTGGTGGTATGATTTCTATTATTCCACATGAACAGCACTGGCTTTCGTTTTTGATCATACGGCTTGTTATTTGCTTTATGCAGTTAGTCATGGTTGGCTGTGCACTTTTGTGCTTGGTGTTTTAACTCCATAGCACTTCAGTACAAAGGAAATCTAAAAAACAACAATGAAAATGTTTCTAATCTGTTCTTAATTAAATAGACCTCAATAATTGATTTATGAGAAGAGGGAAAGCAAAACAGTGTGGTTGCTAACCTGAAAATATAACTTATTTAAAGGCCAAACTTTCCTTTATTTATAATAACTAGAATCTAGGGGAGCCTGAATACCCGTGAATTTTTATCCAACAGTACACAATAAATGAGAGGAAAATTAACCTGGATGAAACAGTTTATGCTTTTCACTATAATATATTAAAAATATCTTTATGTATTAAAACAGACCACCTAAGCCTGCTTATTTACTCTTGTTTGTGATTATATGTGCAACATAGATTTTTCTTTTTTATAACTCACTCTCACCTGTTAAAAATGTTCAAGGGCAATAATAATAAAGTCAATGTAGTCTAATTCCCCATTTTATAACGGCCTGTTTCCACCACCCACCCCCAATTCACTGTAGTTGAAAAGGGCTGGAGATTAGATTTGGGTTTTTAAATTTATTTAGGCTTAAAGATAGAAGGTTTTCCATGTGGTTCAAAGCAAAGAAAATATATTTAAATATGGTAGAGAAAAAGAAATCAAGATGTGACATCCATCTGTGGTGCAAAAATTGAATTACCTATTGCCTAAAATATACCTGATTTTTTT